AAGCTGTGAGCAGTAGCACACTGTGGCTTCGCACATGCGTCTGTTTCTTGACCCAATCAGCCATTTTGAATGCATGTGTATTGGGATAGACGCGTGCTGACGCTTATGTATGGGCACACCTTAAGTTCAGAGGAGCCAATCAGCGCATCGTATATGCTGACGCTTATGTATGGGCACATCTTAAGTTCAGAGGAGCCAATCAGCGCGTCGTTATCGCCGACATGCCCTGCCCACCCGGGTCTCCAGTTAGTCAAAGCGATCGCGGTAATGCGCAGATTATAGTCCACAAAGATAAAATGTATAACTTAAAAATCACTTTATAAATTATTATTTTATACAATTTGCCGAGGGTCCGGACAGAGGAGGTCCGGACAGAGGAGGTCGGCGGTCCGGACAGAGGAGGTCGACGGTCCGGTCGTGGATCGCGGTCCGCCAGTTGAGGAAGGCTGTGATAACCTATTAACAAGATATGAGTAATAACTAGAGAACAAGCGGTAGGACTTTTTAAATGCCCCTATGTGACAAATCACATTTTTTTTCATGTCTGTGTCAAAAGTACAATCCCTATTTATTTATTTCCAAATTTGACCCTGGTCTCCTTGTATGTGGATTTGAATTGGATACACCTGCTATATCCAATGCAAGGGCAATCTGGACGTTCAGGTCGTGCTCATCCGACAACGTCAAAGCAGTGAGTGGCAAAAAGAAAACATGCTATAGAGGCCACTCCAAAACCTTAATTATTACCAGTATTATTTTTTTAAGCCATTCAGAGATGGACATGCTGGTGTTTCGGATGGTCGCCATGCTGCATGATTCAAGAGCGCTTGGGATTGAGGGTGCAAACTGATTGTCGGATGTTCTCCTTCAGGATTTTTTGGGAGACAGCAGAATTCATTGTCCCATCAATCACAGGAACTTGTCCTGGTCCTGGTCCTGAAGAAGCAAATAGCCACACACCATCACACTTCCACCACCATGCTTCACTGTTGGCATCATGGCCGTTTTATCAAATGTTGTGCCCTTTCTAAACCCGTTGTAAGAGCCTGTACATCTTCCAAATTACATTTTTGACTCATCTGTCCACAGAGTGTTTTTCCAAAAGTCTTCAGGATCATCAAGATGTCTTTTGGCAAATGTGAGACCAGCCTTTGTGTTCTTTTTGGGCAGCTGTGGTTTTCCCCTGGGAACTCTCCCATGGGCGCCATTTTTGGCCTGTGTCTTTCTTATGGTAGAGTCATGAACCCTGACCTGGACTGAAGCCAGCGAGGTCGGGAGCTCTTTGCAGGTTGTTGGAGGTTCTTTTGCAACCTCCTAGATGAGTCGTCGTTGCACTCTTGGAGTAATTTTAGCTGGTCGACCACCCCTGGGAATGATTACCACTGTTCCCAGTTTTCTCCATTTGTGGATAATGGCTCTGACGGTGATTTGCTGAAGTCCCAGAGTCTTGGAAATGGCTTTGTAACTTTGAACTTTTGTTCTAATTTCTACTTGAATTTCTTCGGACCGTGGCATGACATGTTTGTTTCTTGAGATCTTGTGGCTTACTTCACTTTATGTGACTGATTCTATTTGTGTGATTTCTTAATTCAACAAATGTGGTGCTAGGGTGTTGCCTGTGAAATTGAACTCAGTCTTCCCAAAACTGTTATTAGTCACAGTTACTTTGTGATTTAACAAGGGGGAGGGGGCATTATTTGGGGAGGGCCTTAATAAATGAAATTGGCATTTTGAAACTGCATTTTATGTCTCGATTGATTTTTTGGGGTTTGTTTTGCTTTCTTGAAAAGTGACGGTTTTGGAGTTGTGAGGATTCAGCCGACAACAGCGATATCTACGCAGGAATAACATTGCCACGACTGAAACATGGAAACAGAAGTCTTTTATTTGATGAACAGCAATGAACATCTACAAAATAAAACAAACATAGTAGAGAGCCCCGTCACAGATGAGGAATGCCAAGATGGGAAACGGGCAGATGCGGAGTTTTAGCGTCGCTTGTCGTACATCTGTATTGTGCTCCATTCATAAGAATCTGCAGGAGACATTGAATAAACAGGAAGCCACAAAACATAGATTGATATACTTGCAAGGTGGCCTGAACAGTACAGTTCCATTACCAACAATCAACAAATGTCATTTGATTTTTTTTTTTTTTTTGCTTTTTGCTTTTTGCTTTTCTATAGTAAAAAGTTGATACTTCAAGAAACCTTATTGAGTTAGCCCTGGTACCCACAAAAATAGATGTTCGCCCAGATGTTACCCCTTCCCGACCGAGGACAACAAAGACCAAATTATTTCATGATTTATAAGATTAGCCTGTATGATTACCATGTGGTTTGAGAGTGCATTTGTCCCGTTAATCGAGTTTCGAACAGTGACCCTTATGTTTGAACATGGTGTTCATTATGGACAACCCGTGATGCACACAGAAGTTGAGTAACAAAACACCACTCACCAATCAGGCCCTTCTCGGTCTCATTATCATTGCACACGTGAGCACTGAGGTCCCCCAGCAAAACGAGGGAGTCCCCCGGGCGAGCGCTTGTGAGCACACTCTCCAAGGACTCCAAAAAGCTGCTGTTCGGTGCATAGGCACAAATAAAAGGGAGGACCTGTCTCCTGACCCTAAGGAGGAGGAAGACGAGCTTTTTCGGAACTTGTCTGCCTAACACTGCCAGAGTGGTGAAATTCCATGTCCCTCGAGCTACCTTCTGTAGCCGGGGATCCGAGCACCATGGTCCCCGTCTTTGGCCACGCCCAGCTCACGATGCACCTGACCCCCTTGGCCCCTCCCACAGGTAGGGAGCCCATGTGAAGGGGACCCACGTTGCCTTTTCGGGCTGTGCCTGGCTGGGCCCCATGTGTGCAGGGCCCGCCACCAGGCGCTCGCCAGTGACTACCACCTTCAAGTCTGGCTCAAGATGGGGGCCCAGGTGACCAAGGTCCAAATTTTACACTCATCATAAGGGTTCTTTTGAGCCGTGCTTTCTCTGGACGGAAGTGCATCACCTACGACTTTTTGCCATGGGTGACCCTGCCAAGGGCATAGTGCCTCAGTCAACTTAGCGCCGGGGAGGATCATTGGGACCCACAAACCCGTCCACCGCGAGAAGGTTTTGTCTCACAGACTCTAAAGAAAAACAAACTAGCAATAGTAGTAGTGGGAGAAGTACGACTGGGAGTCATTAAACAAAATACTCAGGATATCATGATTTTGCCTTGATGTCATCATGGTCTTTCCACAGTAGAAGATAATGAGGTAATGAGCGTTATCCACTAATAAATGTGTAAAAATGTTCACACAAGTTGAGCGCGTATGCAAAATCAACCATCTTATTCAGAATGTGGATGTAACAGCCCGGGAAATGTTGCTTTGGAGCATGCATGTGTTGGATCTACAGACACATTTTTCAAACTGTTTATATAGGTTGGCAGCTCATTTTTGAACCTCTGTGTATTTCTTCTACTGCCTAAAAATGGGCATGGATGCACAATTTCCAAAATTGAAGCATATTAGCACGTTGTGCTGTACATACAAAGTGTTGATTGTCAATTTGTCATGCAATACACTTGATTTCTCCCAGGTACAGGAGGAGCTGCTTTTTTCAACCCCTAATCCCACTTTGGTTATGACAGCCAGCTGGCAATGTCGCTGGCTCAGCCCAGGGCCATAGCTTGTCATTTGCAAGGTAAACATTGTCAAACTCTGCCTACCTGTGAATCATCTAAAGACTTTTAGTGTCACTGATATGAACATGAATCTAATTAAAAAGATGCTTCAGATGCACGCCATTTGTGGCAGTAAAAAGTTAACATTTTAGGGGCAATTAATTGAATAACTTCATTACTTGTAATGTACATTTAATAATATTATAAACGATTTAAAAAAAAACGTCTACCACGTTCATTAAAAACATCACTCGATAGTTTGAAACAGTAATTCGTGCCTTTGTCACATCTCGGCTGGATGACTGTAATGCGCTCTACTTTGGAGTCAGCCAATCCTCCATGAAGCATCTCCAGCTGGTCCAGAATGCTGCTGCTCGCCTCTTGACAGGGAGCATGTAACTCCGACTGTGGCATCCCTTCACTGGCTCCCGAGAGAGTTCTTTTTAAGATTCTATTATGTTTTCATATCTTTCAATCGCCTTGCACATCAACATGAATGTACCCCTCTTTATATTGACATAAAAATTACACACACACACACACACACACACACACACACACACACACACACACACACACACACACACACACAGTGGAACCTCTAACGAAATTAGTTCTAGAAAAAATTCATATTTATATAATTTTTTTTTCAAAAATATCAAACTTTGAAGCCATAATTTGTTAATGGTTGTGACTATAGATTAATAATTATGCTGTACGATTGAGCAATATGTCGAATTATTTTTATCCTATCACATCATATACTGCAATAACTCACACAGTAATGTTCTTGACATCGTTTTACAAATATGGATCTACAGACACATTTTTCAAACTGTTTATATATGTTGGCAGCTCTTTTCTCATCTTTTTCATTTAAAAAAAAATCTGGTATGTTTACATTTCTGAACCTCTGTGTATTTCTTCTACTGCCTAAATATGGGCATGGATCCACAATTTCATATTGGATGCTCAATTTCACATTGGCTCAGAAACAGGTGTTAGCACTCTGTGCTATCGGCGCAACGATTTACCTGGATCTTCTTGGTTTCTTTTCCCCATCAACCCAACAAAAGAGTTGACTTTATGCCCTTTCACAACAATAATATACTATTGTATTGACTACCATTATTTTACATGGCTGTTTCGCCTCGCACAAATAACTATTATTTGCTTTACAAAATACGACAACACTGACTCCAAATTGACATTCACTGGATGCACTGCTGAAGATGAAGGTCACAAATATTACAAATGCCATTGGCAACTTAAATCTTCTATTTTACCCTTTCATGCACCCTGCAACCTGACAACATGATAAGCTGTCCACTGCAGTGACCGCCGTCCAAGAAAGGGTTAAAATGAAAGAATGAAATGTTGTCCCTTTGTATCTTATGTAATGAAATCATTTGTCAACATATAAAAAAATGTATTAGTGTAATGGAAAATGGATGGATGTACAGTGTGACAGTTTTATAATTCCTTTGCATTTGTTAATAAGACTCTCTCCAAACTGTGTTAATTAATGTGGGGGCTGCTAATTTTCTCAAAAACAGTGACAAATCCTTGCCTTGTTCTTCATTTTTTGCCCTCCGCACAACTCATCTCTTTCCTCTTTATCACACAGAAACACGCCACAACTCAAATAGACAAATGAATGCATTCAAGCAAGTTCAAAAGAGAAGAAGGCGAGGCAGACCAAAATTGGCGGTTGCTGTCAATCAATCCCAGCTTGTTGACCATTCCCAACTGCCGTGAATAAATGTCTCCTGAAAATGTTTGCTGATTGTCAAATATTTTTGAGTTTCATTTTTAATGTTTCCCAAAAATATCCAAGCTGTCCACTGCAGTGACCGCTTTCCGCGAAAGGGTTCATAACTAATAGATGCAAAATATTTCCCACTTTACTGTTACTATTTTGCTTTGTATTTTTACTTGTGTATTCCCTATTTTGTAAATATGGAGATGTTTTTTTTTAAATTCCCTGCATGGTGGGATGTATCTCGGCTTATTTTCCTAAATTCGCAAACTTTTAACAGAACAAGAAGCAAATAGTGGCATCATGGACAGAAAAGCAAAGCTCACCACATGTTAAATAATCATAGTCGAAATACTGTTTCTGCTAAATAAAACACAGCTGCAACAAATGGATGAACATTGTCGTGCTGTTTGCCTCCATGGGGGTGCCCCATCCCGACCCATTTGATATTCTGTCCATTTTGGCATGATGTGCATACTGCCACAAATAATTTTGAAAAGACTTTTACGGCTCATAGATGGAATATGAGACTTCATCATTTCTACAAGCAACTTCACTTCAGAGAGTCACAGGTGGGGAAATAAAACAAAATAAAACACATCACTCACTCGTCTAATTGGAAGAGTTTTGGTCAGGGAGTGCAAATATTTACTGAATAATATTTAGATTCGTTTTTTTTTTTCTTACTTCTGATGTCCGGTACTTACTTTTGCGTCGTATCTCTGTCTTTGCTTTGGTTAAAAAAAAATAAAAAAAAAAAGGAAAAAAAAGAGGGAAACGTTATCAGTGTCAGACTGCAAACAACTAAAAAGCGTCTCGTTGAAAATGGTTACCCATTGAGCGCTTCCCCATCAGGCCGATAAACTGATGCGGCCGTGGCTTTCTTGTCCTCCTCAAAAGTATTTCTCTGAAGGGGTCACTGGACATCCAGTTGTCCTGTGAAGGGCAAAATAATAAATTCCTCGGAAAGCTGAATATATTATATTCATATCCAAATAAAGTATAATTTTATTCTGAATAATAACAACAATACTAAGCATAATTTGGGGGATTTTGGCTCTCCTGTATGCCTTAATGTGATAGACTGAGATGGTCTGAGACCGAGAGAGTGGACTGAAATGTCTTGTAACGATTTATTGTCGGCTAATTGATTAAAAGAATGGCCTCAGCTTGGCATCGCTCCAGTTCACAAAGTCAAACACCAGACGTGCAATTCATATCAATCCATGATATGCCGCACCGACTCGAACATTGAGTAGGGATAAAGGGTATCCAACTACGCTTGATTGTTATCACTTTTTTTTTGTACTTTTTTTCGGAGGTGGGCAAGAAAGGGGTGGTCTCCGTTTTCATTTGGGAAGTGTACACATTTCCTTTCTTGTTGAGGAGCGAATAACTAAATACATGTGGACCCCTGTGTCTGTATCTTAACATCAAATTCTTGTGTGTAGTGTCTTTAATTAACTATTTCGTCGATACATAATACTGTACACACAAATGGACGTGTGACATATTAATGGGAACTCACAGTCCACCTTGTTTATTTCGTATCAAACATTTGTGTCTGTTTTGGCGAATCGTTTCTTCGTCCAATTACGACAAGTGCCGTGAAATAAGCATGTGAAGCTTTTATATGGAGAAAACATTGATATTGAAGCGAAAATTGACTACCTGAATGTGGTTGTCGTTGGTCCAGTAATCATCGTTTTCTTGAAGGGTGTTCTCCTCGCCAAAAACTTGGGTCGCGGCGATGAAAAGCATCAAAAGTGGGAAGAGACGCAAGGTCATGATGCCAAACTCGCTTTCCGATGTTAGTCTGTTCAACGACCGTGATATAGAATTTAACTACACTTGTATGGCTTTTATGGAAAAGGAGACGGGGGGGAAAAGGTTCGAAGCTGAAGCCGCGATGTGACTGCGGGGGGACTGCGTCTTCCTCACTGGTCCATGTTGAGTCTTCACACGCTTGCCGCACTGGACCTTCGGGGATTTGTCTCCTCGTTTCGTGAGCCCTCCGCAAATATCAGCCTTCTATATAAGCCTGGGCTCTGCTTTGTAATTCTGTTACGGTGGTCGGAATCTTCGCAACCAGTCAGGAGAAAGCCACGTGTTCGCTTTTGGCTGTCAGTCAAGCCAATTATGGTGACTGGGCTTCGTTTTCATTTGCATCGTGACAAACTCATTTTCGGAAGTCAAATAACGTGGATAATCAATCACTGACTGTGATATTGTATATCAAATGTTCATGTCGCATTTATCCCCCCCCCCCCTTACTTGTTGCTTGTGTGTGCTTAATTTGTCACGATTGTCTCTTTCCGTGTATATCTGACTCTGTCCTCTGTGCTCATCCTATTCACTTTACAATTTGAGTTTTTGTGTTTATTTATTTATTCTCTTTCCGTCGAAAGTGATTTTGGAATAAACCTTTCCAAGTTTCTTCTCTGTCCTCCTGCCTGCGGCGTTCTGCTTTGGGATTCCTCGTCATCAACGTTTGCCTCTTCCTCCACTATCCAAATCGATTTAGCAACAAATACATGACTGAATGTTTTATTTGTACATGCGTGGGGACATATGCATTTTTTAAAAACGTTTTAAATGTTTCCACAGTGAAAACCTGTTGATATAAAGTGCGATGAGTTCCAAACCCATCAGCAGAAATTAAAATTCCGCAATATAGAGACAATGCAATGCCATTTTAAAAAGAATTGTTATCTATTTACATGCTATAAACAATTGATCAAAACACCTATGGGGTAAAAAATACAATTGTCTTTTTTTTTTTTTTTTTTTTTTTTTTTTTGCAGTGGTCCGGTCCAAATCGGGTTCAGAAGCATCATGCCGTGTGCAGCTGTCCAAAGAAACACATTCTGGTGGGGTGGGATGTGTGATATTGGCCAGGTGAGCGTGTGGGTGAGAGCTGTAGACAACAGCAGCTTTTTTTTTTTTTTTTTTGTGAGTGTCTTGTTTTTTGAAATGGCTTAAAAGTGCATCTGAGACTGTGCCTATCCTTTCCCACATGCGAGAGTGCCAATAGTTTATCTGAAAGGACCTTGGATTTAGAACTGGAGGGTCACAGTTTAGAGTCCCGCTTTGAACCAAAATGCAACGGGTCGTTGGAGTGATACTAGTCCGCTTTGCGGTTACATAATTTGAGGTGCCCTTGAGCAAGGCACTGCCCCGCAGCACTCTGCGCACCACTTTCACACACACACACACACACACACACACACACACACACACACACACACACACACACATCTTTCCTTCCCTTCACTGTGGGGCGCGCAACACAGAGTGTGACTTGAAAATATGAGTATGAATTCCTGAGTCTAATGTGAGTCCAGTAAAACATTTAAAATACAAATCCAATTCCAATTAAGTTGGTGTTGGCCGGTGGCGTCCGACAGCGTCGTGTTTAAAAGTATTGATGATGCACAGCAGGATTTCTTGTGGCGGTTGCGTTTTTTGCAATCGCAAAGCCAATTATATTGATACAGCGTACCCCTACACAAATTATATGGCACGACAACGTATTAAAATACTAAAAAGTTTCTTCAACTCTAAAAATGCTTACTTCCCCATGGACCTCAAGAGAAAAAAAGGGAGAGTCAAAGGCGTGGTTTAATTTCAAAGAGGCATTGCCACATGAATTATTGAAGTCAGGGAACACATGAAATTTTTTGTTCCACCCTTTGAGAATGGAGGATATAGTAAAAGAAAATGTCAGGTGTTTATCATTTCACAGATTTGGTGTAGTTATAATGCAGTACACGAAGTACTGTATCTCCATGTTTTTTACTGGCCCTGTCACAATGGGACATGGTGTTTAACATAAAGAAAAAACAGAATACTGTACAGCGATTTGCAAAACATGTTCAACCTTTATTTACTCAAATACACAAATAGACTGTTCGAGGGTGTGTTCGGATTCCCCCCCCACAAAAAAAGCTCAGACCAAGTGGGATGACAAAAATATTTATTGAAGAAAATCGCACCGACAAAGCATGAACTGAAATCGCTGGTCACAAGGTGTCAGGAAAATTAATGCATGAAACCAAAAGCGCTTGCAAAGGCAATAGAACACAGAGAATACTCAAACGAAATGTCCAAAAGTCCATTAACACAAAGATGAAGAGGAAAACCAGAACAACAAAAATACTGACAAACAAGGACCTACGAACAAAACGAGAGTGACTATGAATGGTCGCGAGAGGTCGAGAAAATCACACTTGAAGCACAACAGCGAGCAAGGTCAATAATCCGACAAAGCGTAGCAGAAGTCAGTGTCCTTAAATCCAAGGCTAGACTTGATTACCAAATGAGGCACAGGTGCACCTGCTGGAGGGAAACACCCTTCACTCCAGCTGGAGCTGGAACACAATCAAGACGGAACATGACACAGACAGACATTTCATCTTCCAGCTGATAAACTTTATGGTTTTGAGCAAATAATCACAAACTCAGAATTTTATGGATGCAAGACGTTCCAATAAAGCTGGGACGGGTGGCAAAAAAGACTGAGAATGTTGAGGAATGCTCATCAACCACCTGTTTGGAACATCCCACAGGTGAACATTCTAACTGGGAACAAGTGGATGCCATGATTGGGTATCAAATGTCTGTCCTCCGTGTTCCACTGTGCAGCCCCTCCCTCTGCTGTGTTTTTGTGACCTTCCCCTTAATTCAGTGTGTGCGACGGGCATCTCCGCAATCATTGCACCTGCGTCACCTACACACCTGCCAGTCTTCGCCTCATCAGCCACACTCTCCTCCTCTGTGGCATGAAAGACAGTCTGAAGATCCACCTGTTGCCACTTTGTCAGCTCCCTTCCTTGCCATACTTTCTGCTGCCCACTTTTGATGCTCAGCCTTCCCCGAACACCTTGGTTTGGTTCCTCTGACTGCCTTTGGTTCTTGCCTCCTGTCCCTTTGCCCTGATAATAAACCAGTACTGAGTTCATTGTGGGTCCTGTGCTTGTCTTAAGCTAAGCTTAACAATACAGTGAAACTCCTCTACAACGAAACCTACATGGGTGAAAATACCCCCTTATGTGAAAAAATCTTAATGCATTAACCCCATTCCGGGTCTCCTGCCCCCCATAAAACGCCCCCCCCCCCCCGTTGCGTTATATGAAATCTTTTTCTCTGCTCTTGCCTCGCGACGAGATTCACTACAACGAAGTCTAATCCAACAGCGACCTCTACTGCTTCGTTCGGAAACGGCAACAGCAACCACCACACTGGTTTACACATGCGCAGTAGTCCAGGAAGTAAGTAATGGCTACAAAAACGGACCATTGGATGTCAAGCAGCTTCGACAAGAAGAGCTCGGATGCGTGCGTGTGTGCGTGTGTGCGTGCGCGCACGCGCGCGCGTGCGTGCGTGCGTGCGTGTTTACATCTGAGATCAAATTTGCTACAGTGAAAAACCCCCTGTTGTGAAAAATTTCTTGCTGCAAACATGATTTCGTTGTAGAAGAGTTTCACTGTAGCAACTAAATATGGTTAGCCCAAAAAATTAGAGACACGTCTCTGCATGATGCAGGACCAGAGTTCCACCTTTAGTAATAGTCAACAAATGATGCAAACAATTGGGAACAAGGAGAGCTTTAAGTTACCTTTACTGGTTATGTGTACGTACATCTATCCATCCATTTTCTGATCCGCTGATCCTCACAAGGGTCGCAGGCCATGTTGGAGCCAATTCCAGCTGTCTTCGGGCAGTGGGCGGGGGACACCCTGCACCGCTTGCCAGCCAATCGCAGGGCACATAGAGACGAAAAACCATCCGCGCTCACACTCCCACTTAGGGACAATTTAGATTAAACCTAGTTTATACCTGAGCTTGATGAATGCTCACCCGCCATGAGTAGCCACTTTCGCACAATCCATTCAAGTGACTTTTTTTGAGATTTGTTGCTCACTCTCCGATGAGGTACCAAATTGGATTGCATCTCATTTATTTTCTGGGCACAAACATGTCTTATTTCACTGCACACTACAACTGACACTGCCAGTGTAAATTCTTTCTCAGCATTCATTCAATTATAACAAGAGCAAATTTATGTCACCAGCATGCAATTTCCAGCTTCCAACAAGTCTTTCACCTTGAATGCGTGGCCTTACTTGTCATATGACATTGTAAATTAAAAGCAGAAATCTTTGAATTAGATTTACTGCAGAGAGACTGATGGTGTCGTGAGACACTTGCCCGACTGACGCCATCGTGGGTTCAATTCTCACTCAATGACAGTGTGAATGCGAGTGGGAATGTATGCCCTATGATTGACTGACCCAAGTCAGCTGGGAGAGGCTCACTCATACAACCCTGAATAGGCTGAGCAGCGTAAACAATGGATGGATAGATTTGCGACAGTATGTAAGCTTCTTCACAGATGATATTTCAAGGCACAATACATATTTTTTTTTACATCTTCATTTGTACAGTGCGGGGGTCGGCTCTTTAGCTCCCTGGGGCTTTTTCAAAAATGTTTGAAATGGAAAAAGATGGGGGGAGGGAAATATATTTTTTATTTTAAATAAATTAAAAATTTCAACATTTCGGTCAACGAAGATTTGCGTCACAGCCTGCGACACATGGATGCTAAGTTGTGGCTGTTGTTAAGAAAAAAAAAAAAAATCGGCATTTCATGGACAATTCACCGAGGGTACTGGCAAAGAATGGGAACGTGGAGGGCCGAGAGAAGCATTTCTAAACATTCGTCGCCGAAATAAAAAATCAGTACTGGTACACACGTGCTGCCGAGAAGGCGCACCCATCAAGCACAGATTCTTCTCCTTCGACTAATGTCGTGGCCATAACGCTGAAAAACAGTCCACATCGTGTCCACACGAAGGACAACAAACACCATATGAAAAAACAAAAGACAAAAACAACAAAGAGCAAAGGTCTTGAAGATCTCTTGCCGACGGCTGCCAACTACGGCGCCATCTTGAAAAGGATACCTCATTATTTGCTTTTGTTTGACCTAATTTTCTTGCGTGCAAAAGTTCATTTCCAAAACTTACAAAGAGCTGAATTTATTGCAGTGTGGTCCTCTGTTTTCAAGTCTCACACAATTCTTGTGTGATTCCCCCCTTGTGTTTCCAGTACTGTCCTACGGCTGAAAGATTTCTTTCTGTTGGCGCTCTGCTACGTTCATAAGAAGGAAAGCTTGTTGTGATGTGAACATGTGACCTAAAA